ATAGTGCAAAAGCAATATATATTCAGTAGAAACTGTACTTAAAATTTAATTTTTTTGGCAGGGTAGAGGGAGGATTGGGGATTGAAGCCAGGCCCTTAAAAATGCTAAGCATGCAGTCTAACACTGAGCTACCCACCCAGCCCCAATTTTGAACTTTGATCTTTTCCCATGCTAACAAAGTGCAATGTGATCCTCTTCATGATGCTGGGAGGGCAGCATCGCACAACTCCAAGTGAGCCACAGTATCATAAGGGAGACAACTGACACTCGATGGTGTGCTATGTGGCTTAGTTGGGATATTTCTTCGAAAGGTGAGGTGTATTCAGTGCATTTTCAATTTACAATATTTTCAATTTACAACGAACTTGTTGGTAGCTAATCCCATTGTAAATTGAGGAACATCTATATTTTGAAACAGTGAAACTCTAATTCACAGTTTGGGCAAGCACTGTCAGAGGGATCATACTGTCACCATCTGGGATCTCACCAAAAGCCTATTCAGCTACAAACTGATATTTTCAAAACATGTGAAGACAAGGATTCAGAGCCACTGTCCACAGCCGAAGAGAGAGGAGCCCTCCCTCTGCCTTCCCCCATCTCCTTCCTGCAGGATTGAGGGGGTCCAGGTCTTCTGATAGACCTGGGGGCCCCTGGGGGCTCATTGGCTGCAGTGCTCTCACATGCCTTTTGCCACATGCCTCACTTTGGTGCAGTCATACTAGTAATTAACCATCTCAACTAGCACACCAAAAAGAAAAAAGACATTATTCTCCCCATAGTATAGAGGAGAAAACTAGGCTCAGAGAAGTAAGAGATTGTCCCCAAAATGTTCAGCATGGGATCAGCTGCATTAAGCTAAATGTTCTACTTCCCACCGGTTTCTTGCTCGCAAGGCCAACTTCTGATAATGACATCCAAGCTGCAGGGCTGCAGCAGCTCTCCTGCTTGAAGGGAAGCATGCAAGACCCAAATATGGAATCTTAAAAGGCACGTTTCAGCTCAAGTCCATTTTCAGGTGAGCAAATAGCATTCCCAGAGGGCAAATGCCATTACTTGTGTATCAAGTGACTGTCATTTTGTTGTTGTTGTTGTTGTTTTCTTCTATGTTTCCATTCCCCCTCTCTCACCTGTGTGTCTATTCATATCTCTTTCCCTCCCTCTCTTCCTAGTTTGTAATGGCCATCTTCTTGCTGTGTCCTTACATGGTAGAGAGAATAAGTTCTAGTTTCTTTCTCTTCTTAAATAGGAATCTCATCAAGGGACTCTAGCTTCATGACCTCACCTAACCTTAATTACTTCCCAAAGTCTCCACCTAATACCATCCCTTTGGTGATTAGGTTTTCAACATATGAATTTCGGGGATGGGAGAGGTACACAGCATAACATTTCGCTACTTATCAATATCATTTTTGTCTGTTTTACTGTGATTATTTGACACACCAATCTGTCTTCCTTCCATGAATTTAGTTGCTTGAGGGATGGAGGGTGACCTTGAATCCACTCCTCCTGGGACATTCCCAGTTTGTTGGAAGAAGGAAAGTAATCAACACAGAAAAGAGCTGATCAGCAAGTCTGGATTTTTCTCTTTGAAACATTCATTTATTCATTCATCTTCAACTTAAAGAAACTCTTTAAGTTTTCCTAGAAAACTATTTTTACTCTAAAACATTGCATATGCTTAAAAATGTACTTAAACTAGATGGAAATTATTTTAAAGAGAAAAAATTACTTTTCAATGTTTGATGGTATGCAGTCACTCTCTCAACTCAGTAATTTAAGTGACAGTAATCATACAAAAATCTTGCTTAAGTTTATAAATATTTAAACAGATAATCCACTTTTTAAATTTCAGTTCATACCCAAAGGATTTTTTTTTAAGTAGAGTTCTTTTCAAGAAGACAAGCTGAAAAATCACAACAGAATGAAAGGTCATCTAATGACCTGATAAGGACATGCATCTCTGTTGAACCCTCACTGATCTATAGGGGGAAAATATCTGGGATCTACCACAAGTAAAGAGCAGTCAAATATAATTCTATTTCTTTAGATTAAATGTGTAAATACACCATAAATTAAATTGGTTCTCATTCCAGAGTTCATTAGGAATGGAACTTCATTTTCCAATTTTTAAAAAATATTTTTTAGTTGCTGATGGACCTTTATTTTATTTATTTGTATGTGGTGCTTAGACTTGAACCCAGTGTCTCATGCATGCTAGGCAAGCATGCTACCACTGAGCCACAACCCCAGCCCTCATTTTCCAATTTAACAGTACATTCTCCTCAGGCTGCAAAAAAACAAAAAACAAAACAAAAAAAGTGCTGTGGCTGGACTGACATTTGAAAAAGGTATCTTTTAAAATTTTTAAAATTATATTTCAATATTTTTTAAAAATATATTTTAGTTGTCAATGGACCTTTATTTTATTTATTTATATGTGCTGCAGAGAATAGAACACAATGCCTCACACATGCTAGGCAAGTACTCTACCACTGAGCCACCACCTCAGCCCCTACATTTCAATATTTGAGTGATATTTGCCTCATACTATTTATGCTCATATTACAGAGCCTGGAATGAACACAGATTAATGGTGGAGAAGCACTTAACTCTAAGCAAGACCTACCCCTAATCAATATGGTATGTAACTATTTTCACAGAAAGAAGCTTTTTCAATATGTATTTTAGTGGGAAAGACTGATTTAACGTTAAACATGTCTTTATGTACTGCACTATCAGACACTTAAAGTTTTCTGCCATGCGTGGTGGCCCATGTCCATAATCCCAGCTTCTTGGGAGGCTGAGGCAGAAGGATACAAAGTTCAAAGCTAGCCTCTTAGTGAGGCCCTACCTAAGCAATTTAGCGAGACCCTGACTCAAAATAAAACAAAATAAATAGGACTGGGGATATAACTCAGTGGTGAAGTGCTCCAGGTTCAATCCCAACCACCACCCCCTGCCCAGCAAAAAGAAAAAAAAAAAGTTTCTGGGAGGCCATACCTCTTTATTCTAGAGAACTGAAAATGATGCCTTACCTAGTTCTTAAGCTACATTCTATCATTTGTTTTCCTAATAATATGATTATTATCATTACTGATCAAGAACTGAGGCTTCAAGGGTGTAAAAGTGATCTCTTAAAAAATTATGTGGGCCCCTCACCTGTAATTCCAGCGGCTCTGAAGACTGAGGAAGGAGGATCAAGAATTCAAAGCCAGCCTCAGCAAAAGCGAGGCGTTAAGCAACACAGTGAGACACTGTCTCTAAATAAAATACAAAACAGGGCTGGTGATGTGGCTCTGTCACGAGCAGCTTCTCAGCCTTGTCTGGTTACCAGGAGTTCCCTTCCGGATATCTGCACTGGACCCCGGACCGCGACGTACGCGAACACCAAGCACGAACTCGATTGCCTTTTGAAATGCTGGTTTATTCGCACACCACACAAAGCAATACACGAGGTGGCTGGCACACAACTGCACGATCTTACTCTCAGGCGACGAGAGTTAGTTGTGAGCAATTACATGGAGTTTCCCCCGCGCTTATATACTTTACAAGTTGTTCATACCTAACTTATCTAACATAAGCATACTGCCTGACTACTTTATCATCCTATGACTACAACTTAGAAGGTTACATCATCCACTTATCTAACATAGACACACTCTCTGGTCATCTTGTGACCAGCACTAAAAAGTCACTGAGTTACTGCAAAGTCCAAACAAGTCCAAACAAGTTTCTCTGCTGATCCATGCTGACCCTTCATTCCTGATGTTTTACTCCTGTCATTCTCAGTGGTCGAGTGACCCTGAGTTCAATCCCTGGTACCACTGAAGCCAGATTTAAAGTTAGGTAGTCAGTGTAGTTAGGTAAATAGGGTCTAATAGCGAGTGAAATCTAAAATGGAGGCCATGCTGAGAATGAATTCTGGGAAACGCAGGACAACTCATGGAATGTTAATGACCTAGGCCCAAAGTCCATCCCAAAGAAATGTTAATGAACAGCAAACTTAAAGATGCTGACTTGGAAGTGCCCAGATTACTTCTTTGGCCCACCTGTGTCCCACCCCTACGGCCTTCCCACCTACATTCCATCAGCGAAAACTATAAAAAGGGGAAACAACCGCACTTCCACATTCCATCTCTTGGGTCCCTTCTTTCTCGGGAGAAGTCTTTTCTGCTGTCCTTTAATAAATTCTAATTTTCCACTCTGACCTTGCCTCGGGGTACTTCTCTGGTGTTATTCTTCAACATTGGGGAAGCAAGGACTCATCACCGGTCAACAGCGGTAACACCACCCCCACCAAAAAAAAAATTATTAGGGCAGCTAGGTCAGGACAAATTTCCTATCAGGAGGTGTGGCTGCCCAGTTAGCATGCTGTTTAGACACTTTTGGGTTTTGAGAAAACTCAGAGCTTGACGGTCCCCCCACCGCGTGAACGTGAAGTCAACTGTATCTATCACGTTTAATTATGGGTCCTCAAGCCAAAACTCCACGACTCCCACCCGTGTCCCTGGAGCCACCAAACTACCGGTGGTGGCATCTACTCCACAAAAGGACAACAAGGGCCTGTGTTTAGGTGAGGTATCCAGCAAAACACCTGGGTCAGCCAGATGGTCAGAAGTATAGGTGTGGGAGAAGGGTCAGCATGCTACTCCAGTGTGAATAGCGGACCCTCTAGGACACTCCGGGCCGCTGGGGTGAGGTGGGGACGAGACCGAGCTCAGGCACGGAATGCCGAATCTGGCAAGCTGCTGGGGTCACCTTTGGGTCGGAGCTTTTTGTAATTGAATCGGGCTTGTCTTTCTGCCCGCCGGGTAGGAAAAAGGTCCCACTTGTCCCAGGGGCCCTTGTCAAGCCACTCAGTGAGCAGAGCAAGGGCGCATCTCGGTGCTCGGCTCTCGATTGCTTGAGCCTGGAGGCGGGCAATACACAAAAAATCTGCGCTCGAGGTGTCACGCCTGGCCCGAACCGGCAGCGACGCGCTCACGGCTGTGGCCCCGGCGCCTGGGGCTGGCGGGAGGCGGCCGGGGCGGCTCGCGCGGGGATGTCGAGGAGCTCGAAGGTGGTGCTGGGCCTCTCGGTGCTGCTTACGGCGGCCACGGTGGCCGGCGTGCACCTGAAGCAGCGGCAGGACCTGCAGGTCGGTGTCACGTGACCGTCTCTTCCGGGGCCCGTGGGCTGCAGCCTAGGGCCTCTGGTGGGCTCTGCCCGCGTGGTCCCCGGCTGCTCCCCACGACTTTGCCCCCTCCTTCTCGCCTCTGGGCTCGGCGGTGGCGCGCCCTGCATCCCCACGCATTCGCGGCCGTGAACCTGAGGTCACCCCGGCCTACGGCTCCCGGAGGCCAAGCAACCCGGAGTCCTGGCTGACCCGCTGCTGGCCAGCGCCCAGGAGCCAGCTCCAAGGGGCCTTTCCCGCGAACGCACGCTCCTGGGTGCTCAGCAGTTCTGTTTTCAGCTCACAGCCAGCCCGCTGCCAAGCGAACCTGTCAGCGTCCCGCTTGGGCCGCTAGAAAGTACCAGTCAGGGAAGCGCTTTTTTTGCGGGGGTGGGATGGGGGCTCATTCTCAAGTTATCCACCTCTCACCACCCCTCGGGCCCCAGGTTGGCGCTGAACCCTAAGGCGGTTGAGTGCTAAAGATTTTATCCGGTGGTAAAGCTGGCTCCTCCTCACCCACCCACTTTCCGTGCCTTTTGGCCAAGGTAATTTGATGAGATGTTTGTAATTTTTGCTTAGGTGAATATTGACTATGGAAAATGTAGACTCTGGGAATGATAAAGATACAGTCCTCCAAATTTTCTTTTTGGTACTTCTATTTCTGGAGATGTCTGTGACTTAACTAATCCATGACTGACCGTCAGTCTCTCTCTCTCAGTTCGTATTTTCTTTCTCAAGTTGGCATATCTTTAGTGATTAATCACTCTCTGCCAGGCATAGCGCTAGGTACTTTGGGAATACAAAGACAAAGAAACAACCGCTCCAAAGTCTGTAAATAATTTACAACAGTGCTAAATATCGCAAGCAGTTCATTGTTGAACTTTCAAGTAACACCTTCTCAGGTAGTTGAGTAGAACCTAGTTTGCCAAGGGTAGATGTAATGATCTGAATGATCAAGAGTCAACAGTCTTCTTAATTTACTTGTCCAGGATTTGGACTATGCTATGTGGTTGGTATATGGAGATGAAGCAGATGAGGTCTTTGTCATTGGTGTTCATAACCTGTGGAGACAGGAGAGAAATCTTGTAATGGCACAAGAATTTTGTGATGGGGTTGGGATAACCACTGATGAAAAGGCACAGAAAGGATTAGAGATTTGGGATTAAGGTATGTCTATCAGAAGGTAGCTTTTGGAATAGAGGCAGGGTTCTTCCTGTGTTGAAGGAAAAGATGATGGTCCTGAGAAAAATTGAGATGAAGGGGGTATCTTTCTGCTCTCTGGGTAGGAAAGAGATGAAGAAAAAGATTGCCCTGTTTTTACATCCAGACCTTCACTAGGTACTCTCTAACAATGGGAAAGAATAGAACTAGAAGTACATGGTAGGTGTGTCTGAAAGTTGAAAGAAGCAAGAAGTTAAATAGTGACTACTGTTTCCTGACTGGAGTCTACCACATACCAGACACTCATGTTCAGTACTCATGGGTTACTCTTCCTTCCAGAAACCAAGTATAGATGGTCCCTAACTTACAACTCTTCTACTTAAAATATTTTGACTTTACAATGGTGAGAAAGCAATATGATTTGCACTCAGTAGAAACTGTACTTCAGATTTCAGTATTTTTCCAGGATAATGATTAGGGACTGTAATCCTCTCTTGAGATGTTGGGCAGGTGGAGTAAACCACAGTTCCCAATCAGCTACACACACATGATTTCAGGTAAGTGGTGCTAAGCTGTAATGTTTGGTAGGTTGGGTGTATGTAACACATTTTCTTTTTCTTTCTTTTCTTTTTTTTTTTTTTTTTTTTGTGGTGCTGGGTATTGAACCCAGGGCCTTGTGCATGCAAAGCAAGCACTCTACCAACTGAGCTATATCCCCAGACCAACACATTTTCGATTTCTGATATTTTCAACTTTAAATGGGCTTATCAGGATATACCTTATCTTAAGTCAAGGAGCATTTGTAGTGCTACATGAGCTAGAGTTCAAGGTATCAGAGTTGAGATAGTGAGGAGGTCTTAGGTGGTAAGAGAGGTTCAATTCACAGGAAGGATGTATGAAGCAGTCACCTGGAGAAAGATAACAAATGATGGAATGGCAAGTAAGATCGGAGCACATGCTGACATCTCTGAAAAAGGAGATGAGGACCTGGGAGGCAGATGTAGAAAGAATGATCTCAACCAATGGTATAGGCTTTGGGAATAGGATGTGTAAATGTAAGGAGGTTGGTGACAGGTAGACCTGCGGTGGGGAAAATGGAGTAAGCACCTGTTGTTGTCTCAGTAGGGATCTTGCCAAGGACACAGGATTTAAGAAAATCTAGTACCAGTTGAGTTATCAGTCCTGGGACTCTTAAATTTCCCAACTCCCTCATAATAGCCAATGAAACTCCAGGCCTGGAAGATGTCCAGCAAATAGGTACTAGGTGAGTTTTTAAAATGGATGAAATTTTTTTTTTTTACAAACCAACATACTCAGCCCTAAATTAATTCTATTTTTAAAAACTGCTGTTAAAAATTTATTGCGGGGGCTGGGGATGTGGCTCAAGCGGTAGCGCGCTCGCCTGGCGTGCATGCGGCCCGGGTTCGATCCTCAGCACCACATACAAACAAAGATGTTGTGTCCGCCGATAACTAAAAAATAAATATTTAAAAAAAAAAATTATTGGGGGATGTGGCTCAGTGGTAGAGCACTTTCTTGGGTTCAATCTCTAGCACCAAAAAACCAAAACAATAGAAACAACAACAAAAATGCCTTATTACCTTACTGAAGTATTTTTGAGCTATGAACTATAAAATATTAGTTATTAGTAATGATTGAATTGATATTTTAAAAAGTCTCAAGCTGGGCATGGTGGTAAATGCTTGTAATCCCAGCTACTTGGGATGCCAAGGCAGGAGGATGACAAGTTCAAGGCCAGCCTGAGAAACTTAGCAGGACCATGCCTCAAAAATAAGTAAATAAAAAAGGGTGGAGGGTGTAGCTCAGTGGTAACCCCTGGTTTCAGTCCTCAGCATCCCACCCTCACACACACAAACACACACACAAGTCTCATCTTAGGTACCAAGTCTGCATTCTGAAATTTCTCCTTTTTAGTGCTTATTAAGGTAACTAACTACTATTGATGGGTTTTATTTTTACCTCTAGAATTAGTAGTCTTTTTTAAAAAAAACTTTTCTTTTTACATAATTGATAGTATTTTGTATAATTTCTACCTTTTCACTTTATATACTAGAAGTCCAGTTCTTTATGTTTTTTGGTTTTTGTGGTGCTGGGATTGAACCCAGTGCTTTGTACATGCTAGGCAAGTGTTCTACCCACTAGACTGTATCCTCAGCCCATTAACCCAATTTCCCCCCCCCCCCCCTCCTTTGGTGGTGCTGGGGATTGAATCCAGGGCCTTATGCATGCTAGGCAAGCACTCTACCAGCTGAGCTATATCTCAGCCCCTCTTTGTTTTCTTGTACCTAAATTGTTAAGATAATTTGTTCAATTTTTAGTAACCTTTCTTTTTCTCTTGATGTTTATTATTCACCTAGGATAACTGTTAATAGAAAAGTAGTTCAGACTATTACTTAGTAACAGCTAATTTTTAAAGAATCTTATATCAGCTAGATTTTAAAAATTCAACATAGTGCCATTTAAAATTTATTTTTATTTTTTGTTATTTCCCAATAAGTTTTCTGGACAAAATGTTTAGGAATATCTTAAAATGAGAAGGAAATCATTTTAGTAATGATATTATAGTGCACTACCTAATTTATCTGAAGGTTTCTTTGTTACATTTTACATTTGTACAGAAAGTTAAAATAGTAATTGGGTATTTGGAATCTGAACATTTTAAGTGTATTTTGGTAACACTGTTATTTGGATTTGAATGGCACAAGGATAGGAACCACCTGTTCAGGGTGTTACTGAAATCTGTTTCTTTCGTTTTTAGAGGCTTCGTGACGGAGTGATCAGAGATATTGAGAGGCAAAATCGGAAAAAAGAAAACATTCGTCTTTTGGGAGAACAGATTATTTTGACTGAACAACTTGAAGCAGAAAGAGAGAAGATGTTATTGGAAAAAGGATCTCAAAAAACATGACTTCAAAGGAATGTGAAATAGCACTGAAACCGTGTGTGTTATGTATGTGTGTTGATAGAGATATAGCTTAGTGAGATCTTCACCCTTCTTGTGACAGTCCTTTTAAATTTGGTAAAGGACAGTAGATCCTATACTCTAAATGACTTTAAGAATCCCCTATGTTTGAGCAAAGAAGTTGTGGGCAGACACTCTGAAGAGTTTCTACCTGTGTGATTCTGATAGAAGCCTCTTTAAGTTCAGCATCCAGAGTTAGAACTGTTACTGAAGAGCACTTCTGAACTTGTGAAAAGGGAGGGATGGATAGTAACATCCACCTCAGTAGTTTGATAAGTCGACACGATGATGAAGCCACAAGAACATCTACCTCAGAAGGGCTGGAAGAGGGTGAAGTGGAGGGAGAGACTCTCTTGATTGTTGAATCTGAGGATCAGGCATCTGTGGACTTATCTCATGACCAGAGTGGGGATTCCCTCAACAGTGATGAAGGAGATGTGTCGTGGATGGAGGAGCAGCTGTCCTACTTCTGTGACAAGTGCCAAAAATGGATACCGGCCAGTAAGGAGCTTCTCAATTCCTTTATTTGTCAATTCCTGTGTGAAGGTTTATTTTTCCAACCTGTGAAAGAAACATGAATGTAAAATAGATCTAAATAAAAGGATAATTATTACATTCATTAACTTAGATGATCAAATACAAATTTATATAACACATAGACACATTTGTACTAATAAAAATTGTTGCCAACCACTATTCCATTGTTAAATTAATATTCTTGATGGTGACCCAATAAAAATTAGAAAATTAGAAATCCTGTGTTACTGAAGGAATTAAACCACATTTTTCTAACAAGATTATGTTATGGACTGGGGTCCAGATTCTAGCCTGAGTGTAGAATTAAAAGTTCAAGTTCAAAACCATTACTGTGGTATATTTAACTTATGTGGAAAACTATCATCTGTCACTTTAACTTACAGTTAAAGTGAGGTTAGAATTAGCAGTTTGAAGGTATTTAATGGCCTTTCCTAGGACCAGTCTTGTTTCCCACTTGCAGTTCTCTTTATCTGCTGATAAGAGTTATGCACACACATCTTGTTTTTAGCTGCCAGCTTCTTAACTCCTGAGCTTGCTTTGCTAGCCATCATATAATTTGCACTAAAACAGGATTTTCCATCAGGCAAGAAACTAGAAAAGACATGTGCTAAAGAAATGCTTTGTGTAACAGAATTCATAACTAAGTGAAATTTATATATTATACATACATTTATATACATATTACATACATATTATATATATGTATTATATATATTTATGTATAGTGAAGTGACTAATTTTCTGGTATGTGGCTGTGTTTATGAATGAGTTCAACTTTTCAAATTAATAATTACTATTAATAAGGTTTTAGCTGGCTTTTGCGGTCTTGTTTATTAGTGCAGGGTTTTGTCCTGAATATCTTGGTGGCTGTTTGTCCTTAGAGGATAAATTTTAAACACCCTTGTGGTCAGACCCCTGCTAATTTCTTCAGCCTCTTCTATCCTTCACATTAACAGAACTTTATTGGTAGGATGAACTTTTCATTTTCCACAAACAATTCTTTCTTATCCCTGGGACTTTGCACATTTTTATTTCCTTTCTGGAATATGTATCTCAAGGGTACATATGGCCCCCAACCCCACCACCAATTTCTAGTCTTCCCTCAGGTGCCTGTAGACCTCTCTTCCCAATTTAATCTTGTCTCCCTTTTATGTGCTCTCAACTGCCCTATGGTGCATATCATGTTCCATTCCTGTGATTTTCAAGTCCCACAAAGCATTAACATCATCACCTAGGGAACCTTAATGCAGAGGCCTAGGCTCTACCTCAGAGACTGATTCTTTTCATCTGGAGAGACCTAGACATAGTTAGAAAAACAGCAGCTCCTTGAGTGGTTCTGATGCACCATAAGAGGGGAAAAGTTCCATGCAGCTGGTACCTATTGCCTATTTTCTCCTTTGCTACCCTCCCTGACTTCTAGACCAGTGAGAGCAGGCACTATGCCTTTGTCTTGGTTATTGTATACCCAATGGTTCCTAGCTCAGTGCCTGGCAGATTGTGGGAGATCAAATGTTTTTTGAAAGAATGCTAAAGGGACCCGCCTAGAAGAGTCCAGGTATGTAACGATTGGAAAATCCAGTTAGAGCAATCATACCTGCTTTTCCAGTACCTTTCTCCTAAAAGTTAAGGATCCACAGATCCTTGTAGGGGTGTATATCTGATGTTAGAAGAATAAAACTCCTCTCCCTTTCCCAGGCCCATCCTGCTATTGTGGGTTGGCTGATAAACTCAGCATACTTAGAAATCTGGTTGACAAACTGATTAAACCTTTGGGTTGCCTGTGCTCTAGATAAACCTGTGATGTGACCTTTTTTTTTTCCCCCCCTAGGTCAGCTGAGGGAACAGCTCAGTTATCTTAAGGGTGATAATTTTTTTAGGTTTACTTGTTCTGATTGCTCGGCGGATGGCAAGGAGCAGTATGAGAGGCTGAAGCTGACATGGCAACAAGTGAGTAAAAAGCTCTTCTCTAGAATGTCATGTTGGGTCCTCCAGGAAATTTGTTGGAATGAATATTCAGAGCAAGGAAACTACCAATGAGCTTTTGTTGTGTTTTAAGAGATACCATTCATTTCACGATGAAAATTGGATATGGAGTGTGTGGACAGAGGAATTCTTGGTAAAAATAATACTTGATGTTAACTTAGTAAATTGGGTTTAAAATTCTTGAAAATGTCATGTAATTTTATGTATATCTAACACTAAGCTCTGATTTTAATTGAAAGTATGGTTTACATTTTTTCTATTAGCAATTTTAGAACAGCAAAATCCATAGGATGGTTACATTGGAAATAGATTTGGAAGAAGTAATATAACTAGATTGTAAATACCAGTGTAACCCAGCCTTTCTACATTTGAGCTCAGATGTTTATTTTTTTGTTGATGAATATTTAATATCTACTTTTAACCATCTCCCATACCAGCACTCTAATCCAAGCCACCTATGACCTGAGCAATAGATTTTTTTTTTCAATTTTTTGTAGTTGTAGATGGGCAGAATGCCTTTTTTTTTTTTTTTTTTTTAAATTTATTTTTATATGGTGCTGAGGATCAAACCCAGTGCCTCACACATGCTAGGCAAGCACTCTGACACTGAGCTATAGCCCCACCCTTGAGCAATAGCTTATTTATTTATTTATTTATTTATTTATTTTAGTTATAAGTGAACACAACACCTTTATTTCATTTTTATATGGTGCTGAGGATCGAACCCAGGGCCTCATGCATGCTAAGGGAATGCTCTACCTCTGAGCCACAACCCCAGCCCAAGCAATAGCTTTTTACTGATCTCTTACTTGTATTAATTTTTTTAGTTTTGTTTTTGTATTAATATTTATATATAATAAGCTACCAAGGTATAAATAGTCTTGAAGTTGAAAAAAACAAATGAATTGCTCAGTTTTTGTGTACATCCATTTGTGTGTGTGTGTGTGCGTGTGTGTATTTTGTTTTGTTTTTTGTGGTGCTGGGGATCAAACCTGGGCCTTGCCTATGCTAGGTTAAGTGCTCTATTGCTGAGCTACATACCCAGCCCTCAGTTTTGATGTGTATTTAACAAATACTCACTCCTCAGTCCCTGTAGTGAACCAAATACTTTTCTATTCTAGATCTTCGTTTACTGTGGTAAATGAGACCACAAAGGCCACTGTCCTCAGGCGGCTGACATTCAACATTTACTTTAGATAATAAACAGATAAACATGATAATTACCCATAGCACTTACCACTTTGAAGAAAATAAACAGAATGATGAGAAGGATTTTAGATTATACCATTTTGGCCTTTATGGTGTTCCTTGTAAATTGTTGCCATAGCAGCCTGAGACTATTATCTTAATTACTAGTACTTTATTAGACTATCTCATGAAATCTGTCACTGGTGAATTTAGAAAACCTTTTTTGACTTGCCAAAAAAAAATTTTATATATATGTGTGTGTGTGTGTGTGTGTGTGTGTGTGTGTGTATGGAAATAAGGGAAGTTTGAATTGAGGATATAATCACATGAATATTATTGGGATAGTTTTCTCAACGTATACATGGGATAATATATATAGGCAAATCATGTTAATATTAATTGAGCAGATTTATATTTGGCTGACAAGTGGATTCTCATAAAAGCAGTAAATGGAAAAGCAGCAAAATATTTGCTGTAATTTGTCATTTTTAAGAATGGGTTTCTGGGGGCTGGGGATGTGGCTCAAGTGGTAGCGTGCTCGCCTTGCATGCGTGCGGCCCGGGTTCGATCCTTAGCACCACATACAAACAAAGATGTTGTGTCTGCCGAAAACTAAAAAAAAAATTAAATATTAAAAAAAAAAATATCTCTCCTCTCTCTCTCTCACTCTCTCTTTAAAAAAAAAAAAAAAAGAATGGGTTTCTGTGGAGGTTGTTTTTAAAAGAAAAGCTAGCTTTTTTATTATATTGCTCAGAATATACAATATTGGCTCAATTTGCATATTTAATCAGCATCACTTGAAAAATATTTTTTCACTTCCAGAAGACTATCAACCGTGAATAATACCCTGGTAGGATGAAGTGACAACTTAGGTCACACACATGGTTCTCAGCAAACTACTGACCAGTATTTCTAGTTACATCTGAAAAAGCCCATAGTTCATCAAAAGTCTGAAAGAATCAGTTGGTCTTAAATAATTCCATTGATGTCTCCAAATACTTAGGATATTGGAATGTGGACTTTCTCTTTTTTAAGTCTTAAACTCTGACTTATCAAAGTAATAAGTAGGCTAGGTATGGTGGTACATGCCTGTAATTCCAGCTTCTTGGCAAATTGAGGCAGGAAGATCATAAGTTAGAGATCAGCCTGGGCAACTTAGCAAGACCTGTCTCAAAATGGAAAAATAAAAGATTGAGGATGTAGCCCAGTAGTAGAGCACCCCTGAGTTCAATCTGCAGTACTGGGGGGAAAGAAAAGTAATAAGTAGAAATGCTTTTAACAAATAGCATTTCATTTGTGTTACAAAATACCAATAGTGAAGAGTCTGGTTTCTGAACCAAAAGTCCCCTTCCTTCTAAACCTCTTCCTCCTTGGTGACTATTGAGAACAAGTCTGATATATAGAAGAAAATTTATCAAACATTTAAGAGGGAGGGGGCATTTTTGCATTCATGTACTAGAGACTCATGGCACAGGTGAAGATATCATGATCTCTGCTTATTTTTTTTCTGATTGTTTTTCAACAGATAGTTCCTGTGGCATTGCCAATCCTGAGCTAGGCCTTGGGGATACATTGATCCACAAGGCTGGCTTCATTACTGATGAGCTTAGTCTGGTACTGTGAGATTAGAAAACTCAACTGGATTCATTCTTTCAGATCACAAATGCCAGAAGAGGTGGAAAAACAGGTTCTTTATGTATTAGAATATAGTTTGTCCAGTAAATAATAAGTGATGATACTGAAAAATTATTTTCAAGTAGGTATGTGAACTTTAACTTGTAAGTCATTAAATATCTCAGGCATAAAGGAAAGTACTGGAAATATAATAACAGATACATACCTATGTTTGAGATTGAGTGAATGCATGTTTCTGAATACTCTTGTATCTGAGAGTGGGCAAAGCTCATTCTGTAGTCAAAGTATTTATTGAACAGCATCCATCTCCAGAACTTTTATCTTCTCTCTGTGGGCATTAACTGTTAAGGAAGTAATTTGTAGGGGCTGATGTGGATCAAATGCAAAATTAAGAGGAAGACTTTTTTTTTTTAGAGGAAGACTTATAAAATCTGGTAATGGGGTGAGTTGTATAGTACACGCTCTGCAAGTGTTGTGTGTTTAAGGATGGCAGAAATTGAAACTCAGTGAGGTATCAGAATTTCTGAGCCTATCTGGTGTAGACATACCTCTTCTCATAGAATTATTAGGGATTTAACGCTCTGAATAAGATGCTGGGGCCACTAATTGCAGTTTTCCAGACTTCTAAAAGCTGAAGGCTTCTCCTTATAGAAAAAGTGTTATTTAAAAATCTTTTCTAGATTCTGTGTCCTCTTTTCTGTTTCTTTGGCCCAAAATAAGTTATGATTTTTTATTAGGTGGAAAACATGGTTTTGAATAGCTTCTACAGTTTTGTCCACTTACATAAAATTACATATATAAAACATCTACATAAATGTGAGTGCAAAGAAATGTGTTTGGGCAGCCAGTGATTGATTGAACCCCAGGCCTTCCCCATACCAGGCATGTGCTTTACCACTAAACTACACCCTATCCCCTAAAAGTGGTTCTTTCTTTTTTGGGGGGCTGGGGGGATACCAGAGTTTGAACCTAGGCACACTCAGCCACTAAGCTGAATGTGTGTGTGTATTTTGTTTTTTGTGTTTAATTTTTTCTATTTTATTTAGAGACAGAGTCTCACTAAGTTGCTTAGTGCCTCTCAGTTGCTGAGGCTTGGCTTTGAACCCGCGATCCTCCTGTCTCAACATCCCAAGCCGCTGGGATTACAGGCATGTACCACTGCATGTGGCAAAAGTGGTTATTTCTTTTCTTTTCTTTTTTTTTTTGTGGTGCTGGGGATTGGACCCAGGGCCTTGTGCATGCGAGGCAAGCACTCTACCAACTGAGTTATACCCCAGCCCAGTAATTTCTTGATGGTGGATTTCAGTGATTTTTTACTTTTTTCTTTTCTCTTTTCTGTATTATTAAAATATTTTACAATGAGCATGTGTTATTGATATTCCTGGAATAAACTCTCTGTCCAGGGCCATGAATCCTTGTCTAAAAATAATTAGATTAGGAGTTTGCACACTGAGCTTTGGGGTGACTTGGAGCCCACTGTGTATGGGTTGAGCAGCCAGGCCTTTTTAGTTCTCTGCCTCTTGTGTGGTGGTGATTACATTTGAAGAAAGGTTTCCATAGCTTACAAATGGCTAAATCACTGAGTATATAACCTCTAAGATAATTTTCAGCTCTGAAATTCTGATTGTCTTGTTTTTGCCCTATAAAGAGCTTTGAAAAATATATATGCAGGGGTGATTTTCAAAATATTTTGTAAAGGGTAGCACCATATAGTCAAAAAATGCTGACTCTGTAGGCATACAGTTGTCCAGTAGTTAACCCTTCATTTAGGGCTGCATTTCATAGAGGGTGGGGTGCTTGCGACAGTGCCTGTTCATCAACCCTCTGAGGTAACTTAGCTTAGCCACGCATCTGCCCTACCTGTGTTACGCTGCACGTGATATCTTACAAAAGCAAAAAAGAAAGCAAATAATTCACCCAGAATATGTCAAAGTATCATCCTTCCCTTATTCCACCATTCCTTACCATTCCTACTCAGAATTTAAACAATGCTTTAACCCCCTTCAAGATTAACATCCCTAATCATGCCTATCTCAGGACTCCTGTTTTATTTGTGTTTCAGGTTGTCATGTTGGCAATGTACAACTTGTCTCTGGAAGGAAGTGGACGGCAAGGTTATTTCAGGTGGAAAGAAGATATTTGCTCTTTTATTGAGAAACATTGGACTTTTTTACTAGGGAATAGGTAATGTGGTTTTTAAAATCTTATGCTTGAAGGATGTAAAAAACAAATATATATGATTTGACTCAGCCTAACATAGCCCTGTTATTAGAGATTCACAGGATTTGTTTGTGGAAATCATAAAGAATTTTTGAATTCCAGATTTTTTGTTGTTGTTGTTGACTTTTTTAAAAAACCCTTTTTTAAAATTAAAAAAATTTTTTTTTAGTTGTAGTTGGACACAGTGCTTTAATTTAATTATTTTTATGTGGTGCTGAGGATTGAATCCAGCACCTCGCATATACTAGGTGAGCACTCTACCGCTGAGCCACAACCCCAGCTCCTGTTGTTTACTTTTTTAAGTTAGAAAGATTTGTTTATGAAAAAATCAGAGTAGAATTATATGCTATAAAATTGTAGGTTTCCATAGTTCTCTCATTCTACTGCAGAGGAAAGTGTTGGTTTCTACCAACTATGATATTTTTTTAAGTAATTCTTTGTTAAAAAAAAAATTGAGAGTTTTACTAAATGGGGGATGTTCAAGTGGTGGAGAAATAAGTATTTAATTTGGAGAAATAGGATTATTATGTCCTTTTAAAATCAATGACTTACAGGTCAGAAGAAAAAAAAGATAATGGTAGTTATTTATATTGCTCTTAATTAATTGAGGTATTATTAGAATTTGTTTTTATTAACTTGGAAAGGTAAATACTTTTGTATACTACTTGATATTTGTAGTGCTTAGCAAAGTCTGAGTGCATTAACATGTAAATGGTTTACTCATTAATTACTCTTTTTATAATTTTGCTTTAATTTTTGCTGGAGAGTGTTCCTCCTTTGGGTCATTACACATAAGGATCAGTATCTGTCTTAGGATGCACAGGCACTGAGACTATTTGTTAAAGATCTGTGCCAATTTAACAAGAATTTTATTGCTATTAGGTGAATTTTGTTTAAGATTCTGATTGTGTCTGAAGTCCTGTATAAGATTCATAAATCTTGCATAATTACTGGGTTTGGTGGCACATACCTATAATCCTAGCAACTCAGGAAGCTGAGGCAGGAGGATTGCAAGTCCAAAGCCAGCCTCAAAAGCAATTTAGTGAGGCCTTAAGCAACTTAGCAAGACCTTATCTCAAAAAATAAAAAGGGCTGGGAATGTGCTCGGTGGTAAAGCACCCCTGTATTCAATGCCCAGAATCCCTGCCCCCCCCAAAAAAAAAAAAAAAAAACTTACATTCTTACATAGTTAGGTCAGTGTAGACACAACAGAGCTTCTCATAACTTTAGGTCAAAGTTGGGAATTGTATCTGTCCTCACTGGACTCACCACAGCCTCTGTTAACCTTCAGTTCTGAGAAATCAGTTTGCTCAGGTTACAGAGAAGAAGGGAAGGCAGTGGAAAGGAGGGGCATCCTCTAAAGATTTGCTGTGAAGAAAAAAACAAAATAGACTCAGAACATTTTACAAAATGGGATTATTTTAGTTATTGAGTTATTTAGTGCTGAGAGAAGAACTGACACTATGACTAGCTCTTTCTCATAAGGAAAGGACTTCTGTTGTCTTGGTTTAATGCTTTAGCGCTATTTATGGAATTTAATATACCCCATTTATAAGGGACAAAAAAGAGAAAAAACTGGTAAAATTAGATCTTGGAATTTTTTCATGATCTCTGAGTGCTGTTTTATTTAGTGGATTATTTTCTGGAAGAAATTGGATTTAAATAGCCTGCTCTTAAGAATATTGTTGTATTTTAATAGAAGTTGCTCAGTTTCATTTGTTCATTTCTAGAATATGTTCTGAGAGGAATCAGCTAAAGCTTTTTTCTTTTTAACCTTCTAGTGAAACGCATTCATTGCTTTCCAGCTTCTATGTAGCTTAACTATTAAACTAGAGGTATTTTGCTATATTGGCATATCACTTGAATTATTATTTACTTAATATTTCTATTTAATAGAAATATTAAGTAAATAATAATTACTTAATTATTAGTCACTGATCTGGGCATGGTGGCAAACGTCCCTAATTCCGGCATCTCCAGAGACTGAGGCAGGAGGATCACAAGTTCAAAGCCAGCCTCAGCAATTTGGCAAGGCCATAAGCAAGATCCTTTCTCTAAATAAAAAATGAAAAGGGCTGGGAACATGACTCAGTGTAAGTGCCCCTGGGTTCAATCCCTGGTACCAACAAACAAACAAACATCCACCCCCCCCAAAAAAAAAAAAAAACTATACAAGAGCTTAATTAATTAAGGTTAATTGCCATTGTGCATATGATTATTTAATCTACTTTTACAATCCTGTTTTGAATTCTTGTAGAAGGTATAGTTTTGATTACTGAAGAATATTTTGAATACTTTCTTCTGTTATCATATTTCATTGACTTTAAGATGCATAATTTTCACATTTTGACATTTCTGATAGTTGGATACATCTTACAGTTGATGATATGTCATAATTTAAATTGGTAGCCAACTCTTTCATATTTGTACTTAAAATGGTGTATCTTAAAGTCAATGAATGTTAGATTTGATGGAATGTGATAGAGTGCATTCATATGAATTACAATTCAAAAAACTGAGGTGGGTCCAGGGAAAGCAGTATAGGAAGCACTAGAAATTTGTCTCCCCACCTAGACAACAGTAGCATTGATAGAAATCTGTTTCTGAGAACTATTTTGGAACTCTGGAGTCTAATGAAGTCTTACAACTTCTAGGAGAAGGCTTGGACAATAAATTGTGATTTATTATGGTCAGTTTAATTATTGACAGTAGCAACTACTTATCCACCACCTCCAGCCCTCAGATAGGGAGCTATGCGCTTGTGTTTTTTGTTTGTTTGTGTTTGTTTTTGTTTTTGTTTTTGTACTGGGAATTGAAACCTAGGGAACTTTACCACTCAGGTATAGCCCCAGCCCTTTTTATTTTGAGCAGGATCTCACTAAGTTACTCAGGCTGCCCTTGAACTTGAGATCCTTCTGCCTCAGCATCCCCTGTCACTGGGATTATAGTATATATTCAAAGAAATTGAAAGCAGGACCTGAAAGCTGTGTTCACACCCATGTTCATAGCAGCATTATTCACAGTAGCTAAAATTTGGAAGCAATGCAAGTGTCTATCAACAAATGAATGAATAAGCAAAATGGAGTATATACATACAATGAAATATTATTCACTTATTTATTTATGTATTTATGTGGTGTTGGGATTGAAGCAAGGACCTTGTGCATGTGAGGCAAGCACTCTATCAACTGAATTATATCCCCAGCCCTATTTATTTATTTTTCAGTTTGATACACAGTCTTGCCAAATTGCATAGAGCTTCACTAAATTGATGAGGCTGGCTTATAACCTATGATCCTCCTGCCTCAGCCTCTGGAGTAGCTGGGATTATAAGCCTAATACCACTGCATCCAGCATTATTCAGGTCTTAAAAAAGAAGGGAATTCTGGCACATACTGCAACATAGGTAAGCTCTGAGGATATAATGCTAAATAAAATAAGCCAGTCACAAGAATACTGTATGTCTTTACTTCCATGAGGTATGTAGAATAATGAAAGTCATAAATAAAGAAAATAGAACAATGGTTGTCAGGGTCTAGGGAGGAGGGCAGAGGGCATAATTGGGAGTTATGCGTTTAAGGGATATAGGATTTGTTTTGCATTATAAAAAGAATTTTGAAGCTGGATGGGGGTGATGATTATAGAGGATGAATCTTCTATAATCAAGGTGTTGGTAAGCTTGGTTCCTTTTTTTTTTTTTGGTATCAGGGATTGAATTTAGGGGAGTTTAACCACTGAGCCACACACCCCAGCTTATTTGATATTTTATTTAGAGATAGAGTCTCACTGAGTTACTTAGGCCCTTGCTAAGTTGCTAAGACTGACTTTGAACTCAGGATCCCCGTGCCTCAGCCTCCTGAGCCATGGGTTAGTTCCTTTTGAGGGCTGTGAGAAACGGTCTATTCCAGGCCTCTTTCTCAGCTTTGTTAGTCTCAGATAATCCTTGGTTTCAGATAGATGGCTTTCTCCATGTGTCTTCACATTGTCTCTCCTCTGTACACATTTGTCTCTATGTCCAAATTTTATTGGATAGTATCCAACTTAATGACCTCATTTTAACTTGATCCTCCTACAAAGATGCTGTTTTCTCATTCACATGTCCTAGGGGTTAGGACTTCAGCATCTTTTTGTGGTGGGGAGGTAATAATTCAATCTGTGACAGTGATCATTAACTTTATGAACACTTAAGTTATTCCAGCTTTCCCCCATTTAAATCAAACTTGTAAAGAATTTTCTTATGTATACATGCTCTGTAGTTTTGAGATTAGAAAATTTCTGAGGTCAGAGGATACACATATTTTGGATACAAATTATGAAAGTAACCTCTAGAAAGTATACACCAATTATATTCCCACTAAATGCATGATTGCTCACTTCCCAAACTCCCATCAACAACACATTAGTTTTTAAAATATTTTGAATTTTGTCAGCTTTTTGTTTATTTATTGTGATTTAAAAAAAAAAAATCTAAATTTACATCTCTTAGCTTTTTTTTTTTGGTACTGGGGATTGAACCCAGGGGTTTAATCTTATACCTATCATTAAACATTTACCACTGAGCCACATTTCCAGTTCTTTTTATTTTTTATTTTAAGACAGAATCTCCCTGAGTTGCTTAAGGTCTTGCTAAGTTGCTGAGGCTGGCCTCAAACTCGTGATCTTCCTGCCTCAGCCTCCTGATCTTCCTGCCTCAGCCTCCTGAGTCACTGTGATTACAGGTGGACACACCACACCCAGTCCATCTTAGCCATTATTAAGTGTTGCAGTTATGTGATACTAAGAATATTCACATTATTATGCAACAGATCTACATAATTCTTTCTTCTTGCAAATCTGAAACACTGTACCAATTAAACAACTGTCCTTTCTCCCCTCTTCTTAGCCTCTGATAATCATCATTCTACTTTCTGTGAATCTGACTCTTCTAGATAGTGGACTCCTATAGTATTTGTCTTTTCATGACTAGCTTTATTTCACTTAGTATAATGTCCTCAAAGTTTGTCCATGTTACAGTCTGTAGTAGGATTTCCTTCCTTTTTAGGACACTGTGTGTGTGTGTGTGTACATGCAACTTTTTATTATTATTATTATTAGTATTTTTTTATTGGGAATTAGACCCTGGGATAGTTGGTTCACCCTTTACCACTGAGTTACATCCCCAGCCATTTTTATTTTTTATTTTGACATGGTCTTGTTAAGTTGCTCAAAGTTCCTCAACCTCCAGGGTTGCTGGGAATACAGGTGTGTGCCACCACACCCAGCTACATACAACATTTTGTTTTTTCATCCATCCCTATTTGGATATTTGGGTTGCCTCTATCTTTGTTGATCTTTTTTGAGAAGCTGAAAAGAATCATTTCTCTTTCTAATCTTACTTTGTCATTCCAACATTCCCAACCTCCTATTATCTGTTGGGCAAAGTGAGGTTTGGGGACCCATGAGGCTTATACCATCCACTCTTATTTGTTATTCAATAAAAAAGGTACATGTAGGGCTGGGGATGTGGCTCAAGCGGTAGCACGCTCGCCTGGCATGCGTGCGGCCCGGGTTCAATCCTCAGCACCACATACCAACAAAGATATTGTGTTTGCCGAGAACTAAAAAATAAATATTAAAAAAAAAAAAAAAAAGTACATATAGTAGAATGGATTTTAAGCTTTTTGGTCTCAGGATCCTTTTATACCCAAACATTATTGAGGATCTCAAATAGTTTTTGTTTATGTTGATTATTGCTATTGATATTTTCTGTTTTAGAAATTGAAGCAGAAAATTTTAAAATATTTATTAGCCTGACACAGTGGTTCAGGCCTGTAATCCCAGCAATTTGGGAGGCTGAGGCAGGAGGATCACAAGTTCCAAGCTAGGCTCAGCAACTTGTTGAAACACACCTTGAAATAAAAAGGGCTGGAGATGTAGTCCAATGGTAAAATGGCTCTGGATTCAATCCTCATTACCCCCCAAATTTTTATAATTAATTTATTTATAAAGAATAATAACTAACAAATTTCTTGTTAACATAATATTTTTGTAAAAAATATTTTCCAAAACAAAAATAATAGCAAGAAAGGTCACATTGTTTCCTTTATTTACTGATCTCATCTTCAATGTACGGCTTGTAGAAGATGTATTTCAATATCAAGCTATAAAATTGCTGGAAAACTACTACACACTTAGTGTGAAAAAGGCAAACAACATCTTATTTTTGTTATGAAAATAATTTTTATCTCATGTATTCCTGACAGGCTTCAGCCCCAGGGGTCTCAGGACCTCATTTTGAGAATTGCTGGTACAGCCAAGCTAAGCTGGTGTCAGCCATTTTGGAAGGCATGATATTTCACTTCTTTTTCTTGAAACCATGATGGTCAAATTAGAAAAACCTTCCTTTGAAAGAGTGAATTTTTTTTTTTTTTTGGTACCAGGGATTAAACCCAGAGGTGCTTAACCACCAAGTCACATCCCTAATCCTTTTTATATTTTATTTTAAGATAGGGCCTCACTAAGTTGCTTCAGGCCCTACTAAGATGCTGAGACTGGCTTTAAACTTGCAATCCTCCTACCTCAGTCTCCTGAGATGCTGGGATAACAAGTATATACTATTATGCCTGGCAAAAGAATGATTTTCAAGTGATGGGTGAGGTAAGAAAACAAATAGAGTGGTTTCTACCCTAGTTTTATTCCTTGGGTGAGACAGAGGATTTTGGAAAATTTAGAAAAAAGTAGGTAGTAGGAGAGGTTCCCTGCGACCAAGGGCTAAGGTTGGAAACCAAGTTATTATTCTCCCCATTTTAGCTTTCCATTACTGTAAGGGTATATCTGACATAAGATATTTATGAAATAAAGAGATTTATTTTAGCTCAAGGTTGTTATAGGTTCAAGCCAAGATTGTATGTATGGCCCCTTTGGTTTAGGCCAGTGGTTAGAGCAGGTGGTCACATCTCAAGCCAGGTACAGAGAGAGAAAGAGAAGAGAGAGACTAGAGTCTTATAGTCCTCTTTGAGGGCACACCACCAGTGACCTAAGACCTACCTCTTAAATGTCCACAGTACCTTCCATTACCACTGTGTCAGGGATCGAGCTTTTACATATGGACCTTTGGGGGACACTCAGCCAAACTGAAAAACACTGAAGAAGTGTTTTTTTTGTTGTTGTTGGTTTTTTTTAGAATTTCTTGTTCACTTACATTTTCAAGATGGAAATAAAATAGTTGCCTTTAAAATAATTTTCAACAGGAACTTTTTTTTTTTTTAAAGAGAGAATTTTTTAATATTTATTTTTTTTTAGTTCTCGGCAGACACAACATCTTTGTTTATATGTGGTGCTGAGGATCGAACCCGGGCCGCACGCATGCCAGGCGAGCGCGCTGCCACTTGAGCCACATCCCCAGCCCTCAACAGGAACTTTAATAGTTGATTTTTTTTTTTTCTAAGTCATATAGGCTCTCTGTATTTGTGGAACATACCATGTAATTTTATTACCATTTTAGTATATCAGAGCAAACTGCAGCAGGCTGAGAGATGCATCTATCACCCTGGTAAAGTGAGCCATTTACCAGGACTTATCATAACTACCCAGTCTTGGATTTATGCTTCTTGTGTGCTTTATTTCTTGAGAGCTGTGCTCAATTTACATGTAAAAGCAACTTAATTAAAGCTTACAGAACTCTATAGCTTAATGAGTATGATGAGAACTGTTTTATGTGCTTTGTTTGAGTTCTTTCATTCAATCCTCTTAGCAACCGGTGGAGTAAATTCTATATTCTGATTTCACAGATTAGGAAACTGAGACAGTGGAAAGATGATAGAGCCAGGATTTGAAGCTAGTTAGATTCCAGAGCTTCTCTCTTGACTCTTATGTTCTGTTCCTTCAACAATAGGGGGGATCCATAGCATGTCATAGTCTAGAAGTCAAAGAGAATATATGTAGAGTGTATTTGCTATATGATGATCGACTTAAAGTGCTAATGGTTTGTAAATTCTTGGGAATTTACAAATTTTTTCCTCTTTAGGAAAAAGACTTCAACATGGTGGAGCACAGTAGCAGGTTGCCTCAGTGTGGGAAGTCCTATGTACTTTCGTTCAGGTGCTCAGGAATTTGGAGAGCCTGGATGGTGGAAACTTGTTCATAACAAGCCCCCAACAATGAAACCTGAAGGAGAGAAGTTGTCTGCATCCACTTTGAAAGTAAAAGGTACCACTGTAAAAGGTGCAATTCAGACAGAGCAGAGCAAATGTTAGCACAGGAGACAGTCCTGCTTTTATCAGCCATAGCTCATCAGTCTCTCTGGAGCTATTCCACTTGACAATTTTATGATGACACTATTCTTTTATATTGTAAATAAATACTATGTAAAAACAACATTTTATTGTTTCTTAATCAAGTTACCAGTCTTATAAATTTCCTCTGATGTCTGAAAGGTTCAATGTTTTTAATCTGATTTCTTTTTAACTTTTTATTATGGAAATTTAAAAGCATACAGAGGTAAAGAAAATACTATACTAAATTCCCATGTGTCTTTCACCTTACTCCAACAATAGTAACTCCATGCCATGTGCTGGGCTGGAGGATACAAGTTCAAGGACAACCTGGGCATTAATAAGATCTTGACTTAAAATAAATTAAATAACAACAACAACAAAAAAACCCCACCAAACCCAAAAAAACAAATGTTGAATGTTTTTTCTGATATAAGGCTACTGATTCATAATGAGGATGAGGGGAGCATGGGAGGAATAGACGAACTTTAGATAGGGCAGAAGGAAGGGAGGGGGCATGGGGGTAGTAAAGACGGTGGAATATAATGGACATCATTACCCTAAATAAATATATGAAGACACTAATGGTGTGACTCTACTTTGTGTATAACCAGAGACATAAAAAAATGTGCTCTATATGGGTAATATGAATTGAATCGCATTCTGCTGTCATATATAAAAATTAGAATTTAAAAAAACATATATATATATATATATACACATATATATGTGTGTGGGTATGTGTGTGTGTGTGTGTGTGTGTGTGTATATATATATATATATATATCAGTAAGAAATAAGGATTCTTTCCTTTTCATAGCCTAACCATAGTGCTGTTTTACATTTTTTAAAAAATTAGTAACTCCTTAGTAGTACCCATTGATCTGATTTTTTTTCCTTTGGGCAATACTGGAAATTGAACCCAGGGCCTCATGCATGCTGAGCACATACTGTACCACTAAGTTATATCCCCAGCCCTGCCCCCCTTTTTAAATTAATTTTTATTTTGAGACAGTGTCTCACTAAATTATATAGACTGTCCTCAAACTTGAGATCCTCTGGCCTCAGCCTCCCAAGTAACTGGGATTACAAACGTGTCAATGTATCAGGCTAGCTTCTGGGGTTTTTTGTTTTTTTTTTTTAATCCAAAAATTTTTAAATGAGCTTTAACAATTTTCAACATATAATGGTAAAATATCAAATGGTATTGAAGGGTATAAAGTCTGAAAATCTCCCCTCTCCCACTACAGTTTTACTCCCCAGAGTAACCAGGGTTATCTCTCATGAATGCTTTTAGAGATTACCTCTGCATTTTAAGCATTTTTTTTAAAGCCTAAATACACTCTAATACTTATTCCCCATTTCCCCCCAGGACACCTTGGACATCCTTCCATTACAATACATATAGGTTTACCCTATTTTCCTTTATTTCATTGATTCGATTATATGGTTTTATGATTATGTATTAAGCCATTCCCCTGTTGATGGACATTTTGATTGTTCTGCCAGTTGTTACTTTAATCAGTGCTTCAATTGCACAAATTTGTATACATGTACAAACTGCAAACAGTTGCTGTATCAAAGGGCATATTCATTAAAAAATATGAACCTCCAGACAACCATCTTAAAACTTATACCCTATTAAAAAGTCATGAAAATGCCTATTTGCTGAGCATTATCAAACTTTTAATGTTTACCCATTTTAATAAGTGAAAGGTAATGTTTGTTTAGATTTACATTCTTTTTTAGAATTTAGATTTAACTTCTTTTTTATTAAGAGGTATCTAATTCTTCTAACTTAAGGCATTCATCAAACATTTCTATATTGAACATGGTTCTAAGTTCACAGTAATACATTACAAAAAGAAATTAACATTGAGTAGTTATTTTAAAAGTTGGAGCTGGTATTCCGTACCTGTAATCCCAGCAGCCCTGGAGGCTGAGACAGGAGGATTGCGAGTTCAAAGCCAGCCTCAGCAATGGCAAAGCGCTAAGCAACTCAGTGAGATCCTGTCTCTAAATAAACTACAAAATAGGGCTAGAGATGTGGTTCAGTGTTGAGTACCCCTGAGTTCAATCCCCAATAACCGAGAAGAAAAAGAAAAAAAACCTAAATAAATAAGTAAAAAATTAAAAAAGAACTAGGGATGTAGCTTAGAGGTTAAGTACCTCTGGTTTCTATCCCTGGTACCAAAAAAATAAAACAAAATAAAAATAAAAGTTGGATATTTACTTTCTAGCAGCCTCAAAACCAGCATTGGATCCCATCATTACTGTCGAGGGACTTAGAAAACGGGTGAGCCGGAATCCTGTGGAATCTGCCATGGAACTAAAAGAGAAAAGGTCTCGAACTCAGGAAGCCAAAGACATTAGAAGAGCCCAGAAGGAAGCAGCTGGCTTTCTGGACAGAAGCACATCTTCTACTCCTGTGAAATTCATAAACCGAGGCCGCAGGCCAGACGTGATTCTTGAGAAAGGAGAAGTAATTGATTTCTCATCCTTGAGCTCTTCTGACCGCACCCCTCTAACAAGCCCATCTCCTTCTCCCTCTCTGGATTTCTCTGCCCCGGGGACGCCTGCCTCTCATTCTGCCACTCCTAGCTTGCTTTCAGAAGCTGATCTGATTCCAGATGTGATGCCACCGCAAGCCCTGTTTCATGGTAAGACTTAACCTTCCTCAAATTTTTTTATCTTGGGTGTGGGCCAAGTCCTTTATCTTGGGCGTGAGTTTTCACCTCTTGCCTTCTTCTTTCCTATGTCTTTTCTTTTTTTAAACTTTCCTGGTGCTGGGCATTGAACCCAGGGCCTTGTGCTGAGCTATACTCTTCTTCCCTATGTCTTGATACTACTGTTTTATACTCTGTGTAGATGATGATGAACTGGAAGGCGATGGCGTCATAGACCCAGGGATGGAGTATGTTCCACCCCCATCTGGGTCAGCAGCTTCTGGGCCAGTGATTGGAGGCAGAAAGAAGGTCAGAGCACCTGAACAGATAAAGCAGGAGGTAGAGAGTGAGGAGGAAAAGCCTGACAGGATGGATGTTGACAGTGAAGACACAGATTCAAACACATCTTTGCAAACAAGGGCTCGAGAAAAGAGGAAGCCTCCACTGGAGAAAGACACAAAACCTAAAGGGCCCAAGTACACTCCTGTGAGCATCTATGAGGAAAAACTTCTGCTTAAGAGGCTGGAAGCCTGTCCCAGTGCAGTTGCTATGACACCAGAAGCTCGGAGACTGAAGCGGAAATTGATTGTCAGACAAGCAAAAAGGGATAGGGGATTACCACTTTTTGACTTGGATCAAGTTGTTAATGCTGCTCTTCTGTTAGTTGATGGGATTTATGGAGCCAAAGAAGGAGGAGTTTCCAGGCTTCCAGCCGGACAAGCCACATATCGGACTACCTGTCAGGACTTCAGGATTCTTGACCGATACCAGGTGATGTGAGCATGCACCCTAAAACTGTTAGGGGTTGGGTGGAAGTCCGGCAGGCAGCATCTGGCAGTGGACATGTTACGCTTGACTTTTTTTTTTTTTGGTAATGGGGATTGAGCCCAAGGGTGCTTTGAGGCATATCCCAGCCCTTTTAATTTTTATTTTGAGACAGGGTCTCACTAAGTTGCTTGGGGCTGAGTTGCTGAGGGCTGGCCTTGAACTTATGATCCCCTGCCTTGGCCTCCCAAGTTGCTGGGATACAGGCATGTGTCATCATGTTGCTATGCTATGACTTTTACAATCATGAGTAATTTTAGGAGAGAAAAGAAAAGAATAAGGGAGGAAAATGCAAAAATTGCTTGGCTTTATGTTTCAAAATTATTCAATACATCTTCATTTTCTTTTCCACTGAGCATTTAAGACATAACCTAGAGGATTTTTTTCCTGTCTCTCTGTCTCTGATGGTAGTTGTACATGCTTCAAGTCATTTTGATTGGCAGATTTGTTGAGGATGTGCAGTGTCCCAGACACTGTGCAGAGCAGGACCTGCAGGTGTATAAATATCTGTATAGTTAGGGCAAAACATAAAACAACATGAAATGGTAACTGAGGTATCAGTGTTTGGTCCCCTCTGCTCAGAGACTGTTCAGTGGAACCCACGTTCTGTGAGTGCTCCTGGAAACAATTAATTCCACTCAGAACTTCTGGGACTTCCCACTAGCAGGTAGGAAATGTCTTATTTCCCTCTCTCTTTGCTAGCACTAGATACTACCCAGTCTTTTCTATTTCATTTCTTTGGTTACAGGTGAGGTTAAACGTGTTCCCTAGTTGTTTCTTACCCTGTGAATTTTCATTTTTCTGTTTTCTTATTTTTCTCTGGAAGGTAATGGCATGTCTCTTTATTGCTCATGGTCAGATATTACTCAGTGATATACCAAGGATGGGGCTTCTTTCTTTTGTTGTGCTGGTCATTTGACTTGTAAGTCCTTTCGATTTGACATGCCTTCTTCCTGAGTTCTAGAAAGTCTTGATTTCCTGTCTTCTATTTCCTCTGTTCTGTTTTAGGAACTTTCCTATTGTTGCACATTGGACCCTATAGACCAGGGATTGGCAAACTTTCTTTAAAGGCAGTAAATATTGTGGGTCACGCAGTCTAGGTCATATTTATTCAACTCTGCTGCTGTAATGGGAAGCAGCCATAGTAAATGACTATGTCCCAGAGAAACTTATTTAATAAAGTGGGCAATGGCTGGATTTGTCCTGTGGGCTATAGTTTGGCAAGACCCCTACTCATCTTAATTGTCTTTTCTTTTCCCACCTACTTCCCATCTTTTCTTTCCTTTAAAGTATTAACCTGCCTACCTACAATCCGGGAGCCAGGTGGGGAGTAACCAGGAGCCTACCTACCTTTAAAGCAACCTCCCATGACTCTCCCTGCCTTCCAGACAGGCCTTACTTCTAGCTTGGTTCCCTGTGTCCAGAATTTCTCGAGACTCTGTGGAGGGTCCAGTCTTCTTCCTATGGAGGGAATGATAATTTCCTATGGATGAGCAAACAAAGAGCCTCTCATTCCGTAGTCCCACTGCCTGCCCTCAGCTTTAACAGAGCCTGATCCCTCTAATATCTATGATTTCCTGAGGCTGTTGTGTAAATCACTCTGTTCTCTGCCTGTCTTTATTACAACCTAAGGTTTCAGCTTTCTTTAGTCTATTCAGTCATTTTCTGCATATTCGCATGCTTTTGCTTATAGTTATCTGTTCACCTGTTCTTCATTCTTGTGTGTCTGTGTTTTTAATCCATATACTTTATTTTTTTTCTTGATTTGTTCTATACTTTATTTTTTTAACTTTGAAATGTGTCTTAGAGGTTATTTGGGAGACTAAGGCAGGAGGTCAGTTTGAAGTCCAGCCCCAGCAATTTGGCAAAACCCTATTTAAAAGTAAGAAAAATAAATAAATAAAGGGCTAGCTCAGTGGTGAAATGCCCTGGATTCAATCCCCAGCACAAAAGCAAAAACAAACACTGAACAACATGCACAAATCTAACTTCAAAGAAATTGTCACTTTTAGAGAAATGCTGTGAAAGAAGATAATGCAAAACAGTTTTTCTGAATCATAGATTTGGATTAGTTGTGTCTTTCAAAAGGATCTATTGACACCCCCACCTCTGTTACCTGTGAATGAATTGACCTTATTTGGAAATAGGGCTTTTATAGATATAGTCCTATTAAAATGAGGTTATTCTAGGGTAGGGTGGACCCTTAATCCAATTCAACTGATGACTTTATAAGAGACACAGAGATCAGTCACTGGGAGAAGACCACATGAAGACAGGCAGATATTAGCCGTGCCATCTATGACCCACCAGATCCCAGGGATTGCCAGCAGCACCAGAATCTTAGAGAAAGTTACAGGACAGATTATCTGGTAATACACTCAGAGAGAGCATGGCCCTACCCATACCTTGATTTCTGACTTTTGAGCTCTGAAGCTGAGATAGTTAATTTCCTTTGTTCTAAGGCACCCAGTTTATGATACAGTCAGTTTTTTGTATCCACGGAGAGGGAACCCACAGATTCAACCAATTGTAAATGGGAAAAATTAAATCTGTACTGAATATATATAGATTATTTTCTTATCATTATTACCTAAACAATTTGTATGACATCTTTTTACATAACATTATTTTATGTATAATAAATAATTTAGAGGTAATTTTAAGTATGTGGAAGGATGTGCTTAGATTATATGCAAATACCGTGTCATTTTATATAAAAGACTTGAGCATCTGTAGATTTGGGTATTCTCAGGGGATCCTGGAAACAACTTCCTGCAGATACTGAGAGACAACTATACCTTGTTCTGGTAGCCCCAAGAAATACAGTTATGTTCTGGCTTCAGTTTCCATGAGCCCTGCCTGGGCAAGTAAGTGATCAGGGTCATTAGGGGTCCTGGGAAACAGAATGCTCACCACAGTTTGAACATCAGTTAGAGTTGTCGTATATATATCAGGAACCATGGCAGAAATCTGGGCAAAGCCAGGCATGGTGGTATACAACTGTAATCCTAGCAACTCGGGAGGCTGAGGTAGGAGGATCGTGAGTTCAAGGCCAGCCTCAGCAACTTAGTGAGGCCCTGTCTCAAAGTAAAATATAAAAAGGATTGGGGATGTGGCTCAGTGGTTAATAGCCTCTGGGTTCAATCCCCAGTACAAAAATAAAAAAAAAAAAAAAAAGAAAGAAAGAAAAAGAAAAAGAAATCTGGACAGAGGGAGTGAGATTCTCTATAGTTCCTGCTAAGGCTGACATGGCTTCTATCTTGTAAGTAAGTCAGTGCAACCTGTGTAGTGGGTATCCTTCTCTGATCCAGGGGGCATGTACTGAGAGGGTACAGGAGGCTCAGAGTGCATGGTTTAGAAAAACTGAGCACAGCTGAGATTATTCTGGGCCACCACTTATTCCTTAGGTTTAAAAGATGGTTGGTGGTAACAGGGACTTAGTGACGACAGCCTCTTGTGTCTGCCCCTGGAGTCACACTTGTCCACTTTGTGCTGGCCACTTTTGTGTGTGAGACTCAGCAGGGGTCCTAGTTTTTCCCTTCTCCTGCAGTTCCTTTGCCCATCCTGTGTGTTTGATTTGTTTCCTGTGGCCCTTCTTTACCTGTTGGTTTCCTAAGCAAAGCTGCATAGGAGCTGGGTACAATGGCACACACCCATGATCCCAGTGACTTGAGAGGCTGAGGCAGGAAGATTGCAAGTTCAAGGCCAGACTGGGCAACTTAGTGAGACCTCATCTCAAAATAAAAACAAAAAGGGCTGAGGATATAGTTCAGTGATAAAGTGTCCCTGGGTTCAACCCCCCAAAAAAAACAAAAAACCAACCAAACAACAACAGCAACAAAAACAGATGCATGGGAGGTAAACTTTGAGATCTGCATGTTTGAAAAAGCCTTAAGTTAAACCAGAATTTCAAGCCAGTGGCAGATGAAGTTGAAAGCCAACCTAATAGCAAACTGGAACCAAGTAGACAATGGGCAATGCTTTCAAATTCTGAGGAAAATGCAATTAAACCTGTGATTCTGTGCACACTCAGAGTCTAGGTGAGTCCTCTGTGGCAGGCCCTAACAACTCTGCTTTTAAGTCTCTCCTCATGAACTGGTCAGAGTTCCCAGGGAAGAGTTTCCAGATTCAGAAACCTGGTTGCCAAGTGAGAGAAGAGGGACCTTCCCACTCACCTTATTGCTATCAGAACCCCTGTTACACCTTCTGTAGAGATGGTACTTCCCAACTGCTGCTAGGAGAGGGCAGCCACCCACAGCAGGGAATTGAGGGATAGGGGATGAGGAATCTTGCCAACCACCTAGGTTTTTAGTTCTGTGGGTTCTACAGCATTGACTGGGCTAGTTCTCACTGTATCCAAAGTCATCTTAGGATTTTGATTAAATCAGTTATTATTTGTCCATTTGCTCCCTAGTTTCTATTGTTTCTTTTCTCCATTTTTCTGTTCTTATGTGTTTACCACCTCACCCCCCACCATTCTGTTTCTGTAGTTTTAATAGGGGGTGCTTGTAGTTAATCCTCCATCTTAACCTGGACTTTTTCTTTTGGTACTAGGATTTGAACATAGGGGTGCTCTACCGCTGAGCTTCATCCCCAGACCTTTTTATTTTTTATTTTGAGAGAGGGTCTTGCTAAATTGCTCAGGCTGGACTCAAACTTAACCATTCTCCTACTTCAGCCTCCCTAGTCTCTAGGATTACAGGCATGTACCACCATGCCAAGCAGCCTGGACCTTTAGTATGAGTTTAATGCAGTTACACAGGTTGGCAGTTGCACATTCACTTATTCTATTCATAGTCTTCCTTACTTTCTGACAAATGTGTATTCATAGTTATAAATATCCCTATAAGTACTGTTACCTATAATTTATGGCTTTTAAAATGATGTGACTTTATTACCAATCAGTATTTAACATTCTGTAATTTTCTTCATTATTTCCTCTTTGC